GAACACAATTGGCTTAATAACAGGATGATAACTGGCGAGCCAGGAATCATTCTGAAAAACGCGTACGATATCACGATCACATTACATCCGCAGACGTCTTTTCTCACAGTAATTACTTCCATTCCCGATCGAGGTCTTTCCCTTCTTGCAGATATTGTTAGATTTGACCAAAAAAGAAACGATCAGATTTATGTACGATCACAAAAAACGAACCTAAAATTTTGGATGTAAATTAATTTAACACTGTTTATCTACCAAATATTCAATATATATATATATATATTTTTATTACACACCTAGGTGTGATGAACAGCAGACGGGGTAAACCCCATAGTCACGAGGACCCGCTGTTCAGTGGTTGAAATCGGCAACCTAAGCCCCGGAACTTGGAGTGGTGAACCACATAAGGCCCCGATAGGTTAGGCGTGGTATTGAACCGGACGACAGCAGAGCTGCCTACCACGAAAGTTGGGTGGCGGTGGTGGGGCTCGAACCTCGAACCGTAGGGTCCAAAGCACGCCGGTGATAGCGACTAAACCACTGCGCCACCATTTATATTCGATGTGCTTTGACAGACACACTGATGATGAATTAGCGGAAACATCGATCCACAAGCGAAGTCGTAAAACCTTATTGACGTGTTACTATAGTTGGATTGAAACAAATGGTCAATCAGTGTAGAATCATTTGTGAACAGGAATGCTAGAAGAAAATACCATGTTGGTGGTCAGTCCAGTATCACCAACCGAGCTTTCAAGAGAACTACGAAGTAGGAAAAAGGCTACAAAAGTAGCGGTTTTTCTAGTGAAAAAAATCAACGGGATTAAATAATATGTAAATAGAAATATCATTGATTAAACGAATATCAGTCTATTACAGTGCTCGTTCTTGAAGTCACATGGCTTCTATTTGAACTGTACATCTATTGAGGGACCAATACTGTTGCCCTATGGCCCAATGTTCACAAATTGGAACGCGTAGAGGCTTGACTGGTATCGTCCCCGCTTCTTTACCCGCATCCGAGTGGTCATCAGTCTTGGTTCCGTTCTCATCTTTGTGTATTTCAAATGAGGAGCTGCTTTGAACCAGTTGGTGCACACATATGACAATCAACTGATTTCGATAAGGCTTTAATTTCAAAGCACTGGTAATCCGACTGGAACATGCCATCGGCAATTTTTGTTTGGCTCTGTCAGACATTGTTTTCGTCCGGTTTCTCGTTAGATTCATGCTATACCAGGATAGGTTGCCCATAACGTTAATCACTACGGTCATGGAGCGATTCATCCATGCAACCAGACATCCGGCATTCCATCCAGTGTCTCGGTAGATCAAGAGTTATTCCCCGTCTAAAACCCGCAGTGTTTTGTAGCCAGTGGCATACCTCAGAAGATGGAAATGAACCGCACAATAACGGATAACAATGTTATAGATAAGTCATAAACGATGCTCGCGTTCGACACCTTGACACGTCTGATTTCATTTTTACTGCCTTCTATTGAATATATAGTGATACAGTTTTCAAGAGGAGGAAATCGGTCTATCTAACGGCCGCCATACAATACACAAAAGAGGAAAGTCAGCTGGTGATGATGGTGTTGGTGGTGGTGGTGGTGATGGTGGTGATGGTAGTGATGGTGATGGTGGTGTTGGTGGTGGTGACGGTGATTGTGGTGGTGATGGCGATGGTAGTGATGGTGATGGTGGTGTTGGTGGTGATGGTGATGGTGGCGGTGGTGTTGGTGGTGATGGTGGCGGTGGTGTTGGTGGTGATGGTGATGGTGGTGTCGGTGGTGATGGTGGTGGTGATGGTGATGGTGGTGGTGTCGGTGGTGATGGTGATGGTGGTGGTGATGGTGATGGTAGTGGTGATGGTGGTGGTGGCGGTGGTGTTGGTGGTGATGGTGATGGTGGTAGTGATGGTGATGGTGGTGGTGATGGTGATGTTGGTGGTGGTGTTGGTGTTGATGGTGGTGTTGGTGATGGTGCTGGTGCTGGTGGTGAGATTCGAATAAATGTCCTCCGGGGGGATAACTTGGTGATGTTACCACTGGGCCACTACCGCCCAAACTCACTACCCCCCCCCCTCCGGAGAGAATCGAACTCTCAACCCGATTGAGCTACGTAACGAACGCTGGCTTTGAGCTTCGTCCTGGAGATAGATTCGTAGACTTAAAGTGGATCGATGATACTGCCTTACTCGGTGATAACGCACCAATGATTCAAGAGTCGCCAAATCGTTTGGCAATTGAGGTTAATCTTCCGAATCGAAGAAACAGCGGGATGGGCAG